TGATTCCAATATATTGTTGAACAATCCTGCATTCCTCAAACATTATAATGAGATAGTTGAGGAAAACCTACGCTTAAAAGTTGAACTTGCAAAATACAAACAAGTAGTCAACAAAATGAACGAAATGATGAGGGAAATGGTTCAATGTTTAAATGAAAATCAAGATATCTTCCAATTATCTGATTTAACTATTCAACATGGTGATCAAGTAATGGTCTTAACTCATAAACAAAGGGCTGAAATTTGTGAGCTTTCTGAGAAAACTGCTCAGATCTTACATGTTTGCTCATCAATTTTAAAGAAACCAATAACAGAGCTTGACGGATCAGAAAAGCAATTATTATTCAAGATTATTTTCGAATGTATGGGCAAAAGTATTGAGAGAAATAAGAGCAAGCTTACCAAGTACAAGAATGTTTTTAGAACAATCAAGAGCAAAGCTAAAGCAAAATTGGAGGGTGAGAATTCAAATAGTGAATCCACTGTAAATGAAGTTGAAGAGATACCTAAGAAGAAATCGAAGAAAGGTGATAATGAATCAAAGAAGAAGAATGAAAAGAACAACAGTAAGAAGAGAGTTAGAGAGGAAATTTCAACAGATTCAAACAGTTCTACTGATTCTGATAATTAATTGTAAACAATCACGTCCTTTCGGAATTTAATTTAATAAAAAAAATGGGAAGACACACATTTTAACTTCCTTGCAACAATTTCGGTTAGTTGTTTTATTAGATTATTCACTCTGAATTCATCATCATTTTAGAATGTGTTTCTTCATGTAATTGTGTTGGTAATTGTTATTATGTAAAATTGAATGTAAAGAGGGCCCAAAGTAATGGTAATTTGTTATTTAATTTATTTATGTAGGTTGATTTGATGAAGATTTTAATGCAATAGGTGAGTCGGAGTACTACAATAATTTAATGGTAATTTGTTTAATTTGTTTAATTTATTTACAATTATTCAATTTAAATACAATAATATTAATTGATATTCAACAATTTAATTAATCAGCAATGGTATTTGCAGAGGTTGATTTGATGAAGATTTTAATTCAATCGGGTGAGTCACGAGTATTACAATAATTTAATGGTAATTTGTTTAATTTATTTAATTTATTTACAGTTATTCAATTTAAATGCAATAGATTTATTGGGTAATCATGAATAATTTAATAGTAAGTAGCTTGTTGGTGTTTCATTTCTGATGAATTAGATGAGAGGAAGTGAACGCTTTTAGTTGGAAGCAGGAAGTGAGTGAGTATATTTTTTTTCAGATGGATTTAGTCGGAATTTCGGAACTTGGATTGACGACAACTCGACTTAGAATTTTATTAGAGTTGTGTGTAAATCATTGATGACAATTATGAGTCAAATTTTATTGTGAAATATTGACGATTTTTCGCTAATGATTAACGTTTTTTGATAACAATTTTTCAATAATATTTAACGTTAAACATTATTGAAAAATCGTCAATAATTTACGATAAAATTTAGCGTTAATTTACCTGTAAATTTGAAATTTTTTTCCCAACAAACGTTTACGTTTTTATTTCGTTTTTTTTGTTAATTATTAACGAAAATCAATAAAGTTTGACTTGAATTTTTGTTAACAAAAGTGCGAAAAAATTAATGAAAAAATAAAAATATTTACGTGGAAATATTTTAGCGGGTGACATTTCTATGAAAATTAAAGAATTGAGGAGAAGATAATGACAATTCCTAAACAAGATTTTATTGGAATTTCAAAGTTCAATGACAGTTGTCTTACTTCAAAAAGAGTTGACTATTCTTTTCAACATATTGCTCAAAGGTCAATAAACCAGGGAATAATTCTCTTGCTTCTTTAACAGCTTGTTGCTCATTATCTTGATAATAGCCACATTCATTAAAGTACATGAACATATTCTTTGCTTCAGAACCCATTCTTTGACCAACGGTTTCGGCATCCATTGCAACGTATTGAGTTGGGACATTTAATACCTTAGTGCAAATATCAGCCATTTCCTTAAGGGATACATAATCACCAGCAGTAAGGAGCTTTCTTCCATTGTAAATTTCTGGATGCTTGAATACTTCAGAAACAACAATTCCCAAATCATCAACACCAAATACTGGAAGTTTTCTGTCAGTATTCACACCAGCAAAGATCATGGCACTAGCTCTGTCTTCATTCAATCTGAACATCATTCCAGGAAGATTGTCAGCGAAAAATGGCGGGTAAACAAAAGTCTTGAATGGAATGTTGGTCTTTCTTGCTTCTTGCTCAACCTTATTCTTGTTAGTGAAATGAGGAACTGAAATTTTACCACCAGATGCCTTAGTGACATCATCCAATGAACTGAAAACAAAATGTTGAACATTATTCTTAACAGCTGCTTCAACCAAATTCAATCCTTCGGTCAATTCCTTTTCATGATCAACTGAACCAAATCCTCCTGGAGTTGTTACACCAAAAACACCATAAGCACCTTTGAATGCCTCTACAAGAGCCTCCTTATTACTCATATTGCATGAAACAATTTCAACACCTTGTTCGGCAAGTTCTTTGGCTCTGGCTGAGTTGGAATCTCTGCTAATTCCTCTCAATTTCCAATTGCCTTGCTTTTGAAGATGCTTAATGACACTTCCTCCTTGTTTTCCAGTAGCTCCAATGACAACAATTAATTTACTCATATTGTATACAAATATTTGGTTTGTTT